TCATTCTGAATTCTGCATGTGCTCTCAAAGGTAAGGAGACCACAATCACAAAATATCACTGAGTCAACAGTCTGTGTGCCTTTCAACTCCCACTGTGTCTAACCTCTTCACATCATTGACAATGAAAACAATAAGCACTCAGGAGGCAGAGCCAGGCGAATCTTTGTGAGTTGAGTCTAGCCTGGTCTACAGAGTAAGTTCCAGGACAGGCTCCAAAGCTACACAGAAAAATCCTGTCTCGAAAAAACCAAAAAAAAAAAAAAAAAAAAAGCCACGAGAGCTATCATTTGGGGAAAGGAAGTGGTATGCCCTTCAATCTTTCAAGTCAAGTGAGTTGGGACCAACTTCGCAGTTATACCATTACCAGGCTATCATTTCACTCAGCAGTCCTATGTTTCATGACTCAGCTTTGGAAGAAATATCAAAAAGCAAAGTTAAGCTGGACATGGTGGCACATGCCTTTAATCCCAGCACTTGGGAGGCAGGGGCAGGAGGATCTCTGTGAGTTCAAGGCCAGCCTGGTCTACACAGGAAGATCCTGTCTCCCAAAGAGGGGAAAAGAGAGTTAAAACTAAAAAATATTCAATTAATACTTCATATGGTAATACAATTAATTCTATAAATCCATGTGTTACTCCGAATGAAAATCTGGAGAAAAGTAGCTCCAAGGTGAACTTCTCTGTTCACAGACGCAATGGTATCATGCCATCTTCAAGTAAGTAGGGCCTAGCAGGCAGCCTTAGAAACAGTCAAAGCGGCAATACTCCAGTTTCTACCTCTTCTCGGCTTTGCGCTGTCAACGTTTATAGAAAGCAGTAAGAGAAGTGTCAGAACTGTGTCTGACAGCGTACGCCTGCATCTCAGCATCTGGGAATGGAGGCAGGACGATCAGAAGTTCAAGACCAGTGTGGCAATAATAGAGTCTGTTAATAGAGCATCAAACTAAGAAGACTAATTGGCCTCATTCAACAATCTTTAGTGAACACCTGTAACTTGCCCAGCACTGTTTTTTTGTTGTTGTTGTTTTTGGAGACAGGGTTTCTCTGTGTAGCTTTGGAGCCTATCTTGGAACTCACTCTGTAGACCAGGCTGGCCTCGATCTCACAGAGATCCTCCTGCCTCTGCCTCCTGCGTGCTGGGATTAAAGGCGAGAGCCACCACTGCCCGGCTACTGTTTGTGGCACTAAATACACAGCGATGAACCAAAGATAAACTGCCTCTCTCGCCAATCTTCCCCCAGCACTGCCTCCCCTCCCTGGGTCTTGATTTCAACGGCAACATTCCAGACTGGGCTCCAGAACCAACTAGACTGCCATATCCATTTTAGCATTTTATGGAGAGCCAAATCTGTCTTTTAAACACTTGCTTTTTCTTTTTTAAATTATTTTATTCGAATGGGTTGTCTACAAGTATGTCTGTGCATCACATGTGTGCATCATGTGCAAATCTGGTACCCCTAGAAGCCAAAAGAGGGCATAGGAGACCCTGGAATTGGAATTACAGACAGTTGTGAGCCACCACATTGGTGCTGAGAATGAAACCCCATCTTGCAGAAGAGCAGCCAGTGCTCTTAGCTGCTAAGCCATCTCTCCAGCCCTCATATGATGTCACGTAAAAGACAAAGAATTGGCACTGCACAGATGACACTTTCTCCAGTGGACAGCATCTACATCAATTCTGACAATTCCTACCTGAAGTTAGGAGTCAGATGCCACAGGCAGGGCTCAGTCCCACTACACTGTCCCCATCTGAGAGGCCAATCACAAGTAGTAGGCTGTCACAACTTTCCTTTCAGTAATGATAAGTCATCATTTCCTAGTACCTGCCCCCTGAAAATACCTTTATTGGTTTACTATAAGATACTACAGGGAGGTGTGGTGGCATGCCCCACAACCTGAAGCTGGAAGTAATAGGATCAGCAAGCAGTTGGAAGGCTGAGGCAAAAAGATCAGGAGTTCAAGGTCATTCTCAACTACAAGAGATCCCGCTCAAGCAAAAACAAGCAAACAAAACATGGCATTTCAAAGGAATATAACCTGAATTCCATCTCTAACAAAGCAAAAGAAAAAATTTAACAGCCATGCCTCAAGGGAGGTGCATAGAGGCAAGGTCTGTCGGGGAAGGGGTCACACCAGACTTTCTCTTCCCAGATGTTACTAGGTAAGGAATGAAAGGTTAAATCCTCTGGTTACCAGTCCCATCCTGAGGCTACCCAAGAGCCCCATCTTGTCACTTAATTATACCAGTATAAAATTGGGTGCAGAGAGGATGATCATTGAGTAACAAAAGGACAGTAGTCCTATCACTCTCAGAATTCCAAGGGTTTTAGCTCCATGGGACAGGACCAGATTCAGCTCACAGTATACCAAGGTTATGAAGGGCATGATCTCATTCTGCCTCTTAGGGTTTTCTTGTCATTGGTTTGCTTTTCCATGGCATTTTACATTCATGCTTCTAATCTACTTCTTTTATATTATTATTACCATGTTTGGAATTCCAGGGATATAGCAAAAAGAAAAGTGGTTTCTGTACGCAACAAAAACTGAAATTACTGCTTAATCTTCATGATTATTTTCTCTAAAACTGAGAAACAAAACAAAATCAGATTTGATCCTCTCATCTCTATGCTCAAGTTAATCCCTTCCACAAAACCAAACCAAACCTGACTCTAGTTCTTTATTTCCAACAGCTTTAGTATGACATTGTAAGACTTTTCTGTAACCTGGTCTCTTCCACCCACTCCTTCAGCTTCCTCCCCATCCATTCCCTTCCACCTAGTTCCCTTCGCTCTTCTCTACCGCTTTCAGTTTCTACACAGGGCCTGCACTTTCTCAGTGCACATTTCCAGATCTGCTCATGATGCAACCTCCTCCTAGAGACAGCCCTTCCCTTCCCTTTCCTCCGCCCCCTACCAAATCACTCAAGACCAGCCAGAACAATTTGAATACAATTCAGGGCAGGAGGAGGGATTCTGTTTCATCTACTACTCTAACTTTGAATACCCATCTGGTAGCCAAGCAACAGATGCTAAATGACTGTTAAAACTTTATTTGAAAAGATTAAGCATAAAAAGAAATCAAGCATCATTTACATTGGGTTTCAAAATATGGATTTGTTCCTACAAATCTAACATCCATTTGGCTAAGTGAATATCCTGGCACCTTTGAGTTGTACAAAACTTATTAAGGCTAAAATAAAATATGCCACTTGAAAATCAAGAACACCATTCTTGAATCTGTTAAACATGGGTTTATGATGTTCTAACCTGGGACCTATTTCTAAATTAGGATGTTCTGGTTGTCTCACACACAAAAATGTGTTTAAAAAAAAAAAAAGAAGCCAGACAGTGGTGGCGCACACCTTTAATCCCAGCACTCGGGAGGCAGAGCCAGGCGGATCTCTGTGAGTTCAAGGCCAGCTTGGGCTACAGAGTGAGTTCCAGGAAAGGCGCAACGTTACACAAAAAAACCCTGTCTCAAAAAACCAAAAAAAAAAAAAAAAAAAAAAAAAAAAAAAAAAAAAAAAACCCACAAAGCCTAGTTAGTACTTACAAAGAAGCCTACCTGAGTTGGATTTCCAAACCCCACATGGCAGAAAGAACCAACTCCTAGAAGTTGTCCTCTGACCTCCATGTGCAAGCAGGGGCACATTCATTTATATACATGCACACAAAATAGCCAAGTGTGCTATTTAAAACTGCTCATAAATTATGTTTTCACTTACGTTCAGGGCAAGTGTGATACCATCAATGACACTGTTCACCTTCAAAGGCTGTTTATACTAAACAACGACTAAAAGAAGCACGAAATGTTGACAAATAAGGCCGACCTAGGGATCTTAACACTAAACTACCATTTTTTTTTAATTGTAAATAAAAATTCCACCTGATTCTCTGGTGTTTTGAAAGGTATTATCCATTTTCATAACTCTGGGTGTTAGTTAAAAAGATGATAAAGCCTAGTAAATTTTGATTAGCACATTGAAAAAACTAGGTCAATGATTTGATGAGTACTAGGGTGGTTTTGTTCTTTTACACATGAAGGACGGATTTTCTTAGCCTTAATTACTTTGGGAGGGTCTCATCAAACACACTGTCAAGTCGCTAAAGAGAGCCCCTCCCCCAGTACTATCTAGGAACATTCCAGATCTCTAGAGTAGGGGGATAGGCATGCAAGGGTAAGATCATTTCTCAGCAGAAACTCCTGCATGCTCAGAGCCTATGAATGCCACATTCCTGCTGCCCTATGCAGGCCTTGCCTCAAAAAGGGCCAAACAACTCTGGCACGTTTTTCTATATCTTAAAGTAGAACCCGGGAATGGGGGAAATCTAAAGGTGTTCGTTTAGATCCTTTTGACACCTGCTCCCCCCGCCGCCCCAACACTATAAGCAAACTGCAAACGCTTGAGCAGCAACCGCGGCGGCAAACCACAACAGATCCCGAGGCCGAAGTGGGTCGGGGTTACGGTTACACTTCTGCATCCTATTTACACCCTTTTGTCTACAAACTTGAGTGCAAACTAAGTTCCCTTCTAGGCGGCGTGCTCCCTCGCTGGGCCTTAAAAATCAAAGCGACGTCCCCGAGGCCGGAAGGATGCGATCCACTAGGTACCGAGGCTGCACCTTAAGCCCTCCGCGGACCACGCACTCTGCCGCCCCTGGCTTCCAGGGAGCTCTCGGCGCCGAAAGGGGTCGCCCCGGGCAACCGGCCGGCGCCCTGCTCCGAGAGGACGGTGGAGCCGGGCGCGCCGACCCCTACACGCCGGCCTCCGTCCGCGCGGGGTGGCCGGCCTGGGTCGCGGAAGGCTGGCAGCCCCGCCCTGCCGTCCCCTCGGCCGCTCCCCTCGCCTCCTCGCGGCCTCCGGGTGTCACCGCGGCCTCGGGGCCCCATCGCGGCCTCCCGGGCCCGGCCTGGCCCGCCCCGAGCCAGCGCGCAGGCAGGCAGGCAGGCCGCCCGCCCGCCTAGGCCCCGCGCCGCACCCCGGCCTCCCGCCCGCCTCACCGTTCTGCTGCGGCGGCGCCAGGCCAGAGGCTGCTCCGCCGAGCTTGGGCGGCATCCGGGCACCGGCAGCCGGGTGAGGGGACCCGGCGGGGGCCGACATGACGGCGCGGCTGACGGCGGCGGCGGCTCCGCGGCGGGAGATGGGCGGAGAGAGGGCGGGAAGGCGGGGCCGCGGAGGGAGAGGAAGAGGAAGGAACGCGCCCGCGTCACAAGGCCGAGTCACCCAGGACCGCGGCCCCGGGCACCCACGCTCTGCCGCGCCACCGCACGCGCGCGGACCCCGGCCCGGCCCTCCCGCGCCAGCGCCCCCTGCAGGCCAGGCCGGAGCTAGGCGACCACCGCCCCGCGCCGGCCACTAGGCTGCAGCGCCGCCGCCGCCGCCGCCGCCGGCGGAGGGGAAGGCGCGGGCCTCGAGGCCGCCGCTACCCGCACGGAGCCTGCGCCCTGCAGGGCTGGAGGACGGGGCGAAGCTGCAGACGGAGGGAGGTCCGGAGCCCGGGGCCGCGCTGTCGCAGCCCACCCACGGACCCTTCCTCGACGAAGAAGGAAGACAAGAGAGCCTGGCTTATTAGATTTGCTGTTTATTCTTGCAACCTCCCCACTCCCCCAATCCCAAATGAAACAGCGCGATCTAGCCAAATGTGTATTGGCCATGTGGAATTCCCAGGCAAAGAGAAAACATTTTTCTACGACAGCGTCTCAGTAAAACGGTAGTGTTCAAAACTTTAACCAGTGGCTTTCAATAGCTAGGGGAAGAGGAAGGCAAAAGCCAAGCACCAGGAAAGACAAACTTTACTCGTCCCCTCCCCCTCCCCACCCCGGGTTGGCTCCGCCCATTAGTTTTTGGAAAAGCTGGAGCATCCAGAAGTCGGAGGTCAGCGTGCTTTGACCAAGTCCGTGAAATGTTTGAATGAGTCTACCAGGTCTGCCCAGCCTGCTGACTGGCAGGCAGGAGGGCATTATCCAAGTCGTTTTGGCTTCTTGGTCCCAAGCAGGCCACCATCACACTGTAGTGGGAGCGCAACTGCTCAGAAACGTTTGGATTCTGAATGAGATCTCGAAAGATGACATTTCTGGAGCGGCGGAATCCTTTTTACCGGAAGGTTATGCACACTTTAAAGCTTCGTGGTTCTAGAACGACACAAAGCCTTCTGTTAGCTGTTTCCGTGAATTGATGACGGGTGCTCTATTGCACCACACCACAAATAGATAGACTTTTAGTAGATGGAGTCACACTTTGGAGTTCTGAGATTTCCAACTACATGATGCTCTGTATTCATGTATTTCGTGGTGACTTTCCGTTTCTTCACAGAAACCCAATCCTCAAGAGCTAGAGACCACACCCCCACTCCATCAAGGAAGTCCCACAGTTCAAGCCCCCCACTCAACATGTGTCTTTGAATTTGGAATAAGGCTATGTGATTAAGGGAATGATGGGCAATTGCCTTTCTCTCTCTGGAGTGTGTCCTTGATATAAGCTCATTTTAATCACATAAATGAATAGGAAATGAAGAGTGATGTTGTCTCTTCCTCAAAGATGGACACACTACATTTTCATAGATCTCCATAATACATATTTATGACTTACTTTTGTTTGTGGGTTGTGTCAGGTCCCAAAGGGAACTCCAATTCCCTAAACTCCAAACATCCAGAAATGAGCTCAACCAAGACTACAGGAGGACTTCTGGCAGTTAGATAAAAGCCACTATGGCTCAGGAAGTTGTGAAACTGGTTCTCCTCTATCAGAAATATTTCCCTTCGCTCTGACAGAAGGGATGTGGCTACCTGTGGTGCCTCTTAGCATATCAGAACCCACATCGGCCTCCAGCCTCCCTCAGTACCACAGGTACCTATTATTTCAAAGTTCATGCGATCTCCTTATAACCCTGCTATTCTTGCTATGTTCTCAATCTCCCCCCTCTCTCCCCCCTCTCTCCCCCACCCTCTCCTCTCTTCCCATATCTACAGTAAAAACACTCACCTTAATCATACCATGGAGTGGTCATGTTATCAGTTTACACAGGTTGTTGGGGGCAGGGAGGAATTGTTGTTTATTTGTTTTGTTTTTGAGACAAAGTTTCCCTATGTAGCCCCAGGCTGGCTGTGGATCCTCCTGCCTCAGAACCACTTTTCACAGCTTTCCCTAGTCTGTGGCACCAGGTATTCATTCCCTCACCATGGTACTGCTCTCCTAGCAGTATATGACATATTCAGGACTTGCTGCACCAAATAGTGCATGTTAGTGACCCTTGGGCATATCAAGTATTTTAAGCCCGAGGAATTGAAGAAATGGTTGATGTAGGAAGAATTCTCCAACCTTCCCCTGAAGCAGATTGGAAAGACTGCGTCTGCATGTACCTTTGGGAGAGTAGCATCCTCAGCCATGAAGACAGGAATTCTTGGATGCTGTGAAGGAACCGTGGGCTCATGTTTTCCCGTGGCCTTTTATTTGTCCTCAAACCCAGTTTTAAACACATTTAACCCTTTCTTCAAATTTCCAGTTCTTTATGAAAGCCTCAGTGTTATGTAAAATCTTAAAAAGTTTGTATTCTTTGTTCTTTTGGTATAGGGACCCCAGGTAGGAGCTTAATAGAGTCCCCTAAACTCTTGAGAGGAAAAAAGTCACGAACCTGTAATTAGTGGAACCAGAGAGAAAGCCTGTTTCCCTTTAGGACGACATCCAATTAACTGCGAGCAATCCTGGGTTAGTTTACATTGCTCCTCAGAAAGTTGCACTAATTATGATGTCCTAAAGCTTGAGGACCTCAGTTGGATCCCCAAATGGATGAGAGAGAGAGAGAGAGAGAGAGAGAGAGAGAGAGAGAGAGAGAGAGAGACTCTAGCAAGGGAAGCAGATAGCCTAACTGCAGATCTTTACCTCTCCTCTCCTCTCCATCCAATCCACTCACCCCCACCTCACCCCCTAACTCTGTAGCAGGCAGACCCCATGTGGCAGCCTCCACTTTCTCACTGCCCCCATCTCCAGCAGATCAAGCAGATCATCTCTAACCTTCCTCTGCACACATCCTGTTACCCCAGCCCCCAACTCCAAGCAGACATTCCTTGGGAACCTGCCAGTCAAGTCTGCCAGAGAGGCAAGTAGGCCAGGGGAGCAGCTAGGCAAGCTTCAGACCTTTGCTCTCCCTCCTCCCCTCCAAATCCAGTCCCCGAGTCTCATGGTCAGGTCTGTAGCAGACTACCTGTGTGGCCGCTCTCTCAGTTCGCTCACTCTTGGTCCCATTCTCAGGGGACTAAGCAAATCCTGGAGGAAAACCCTCCTGTGGATCCCCTTAGCCACCCACTAAGCCCATCTCCATTCCTAGATGTTGGCTCCTAATAACATACATTTGACCCAGAACCCCTAGAGGCCACACCTAGAAGAATCCCAAAAGAACTCCCCAATAGGCAATACACAGCCACCATACCCCACTACGAACCAGAGGGCAACAGAAACCAAGGAACAAAACACCCAACCACCAAAGACAAGACCAGCACCTAGAATTACAATCATCCCAAACGCAGATGCCTAGATGACAGTATAAAAATCCAATCAATAACAGCCAGAACAGTATGTCTCCACTAGAGCCCAGCAACCCTACCACAGCGGGCCCCATGAACTGCAACATAGCTGAAGCACAAGAAAAAGACCTTAAGCTGGGCGGTGGTGGCATACGCCTTTAATCCCAGCACTCGGGAGGTAGAGGCAGGTGGATCTCTGTGAGTTCAAGGTCAGCCTGAGCTACAGGGCAAGTTCCAGAAAAGGTGCAAAGCTACACAGAGAAACCTTGTCTCAAAAGACCCCCCCCCAAAAAAAAAAGAAAGAAAGAAAGAAAGAAAAAGACCTTAAAATAGACTTTATGAATATGATGGAGGTCCCTAAAGAGGAAATGAATAAATCCCTTAAAGAAACCTATGAAAACACAAGCAGTGAAAGGGAAATGAACAGAAAAGTTCAAAACCTGAGAATGGAAACAGAATCTATAAAGAAAACCCAAACTGAGGGAAGTCTGGAAGGGAAAAATTTAGTAACTTGAACAGGAATGTCAGAGGCAAGACTCAACAAAAGAATACAAGAGATGGAAAAGAGAATCTCGGGCATTGAAGCCATGATAGAAAAAAAGAATGGATATCTCTGTGAAAGGAAATGTTAAATCTAAAAAGAAAACCCAGGCACAGGACACTATGAAAAGACCAAACCTAAAAATAACTGGAATAGAGGAATGTAGCCAGAAGTTTTCTCTGGTCCTGCCCACCCCCAACCCCTAGGTCCCGTAGCCACTTATAAAATAATCATTCAGAGGCTTAATATTAATTACCAGTTGCATGGCACATGGCAGGCTCTTGCTCGCTAACTCTTGTAACTTAACCTATTTCTATTAATCTATAAGTTGCCACGTGGCCGTGGCTTACCAGTTTGTGCCTGTGGCTTCCAGGTACTTTTACATCTTGCATCTCCTGGCAGCAGCTGGCGACTCCTTTCTCCTTCTTTTGTTTGCCACTTGCTCTTCCTCAGGGGCAATGCCAACCTGACTGTGCTCGGCTTGCTCCACTGCCTCCTTCTCCCTCTCCTCCTGCCTTTTGCGGGCCTGTTCCTCCTCCTGAGCCATTTCAGCTGCAATTTTCTCCATATCCACTTCCACCTTCAGACCACATAAGCTTTTAAGTTCGTTGTTAAAAGAATCTGTGCTTTCCAGGAACTTCCTCTTCTTCTCCTGGTGTTGTTCCTCTAGCTGAAGAAGTTCGGCTTCTAGTTTTCGCTGATGAACCACTAAACACTGGACATGTTGCATGAGGGCCTGTGTTCTAGCTTTTGTGAGAACCCACTGCACATCAGGTACCACACTCTTCCTGAAGATCTCACTGATGAGGCCGCGGTTTCCCTGGAAATGGGCGGTGGCTGTATGTTTCATTGAAAAGTCATCATCATCATGAGTACCGGACGGAGTAGACATCTTAAGTTGTCCTCTGATCTGACCCAGAGCGAATCCACCTTACAGGCACAGAGCAAGAAGAAGAAACCCAGGTCAAAGGCACAGAAAATATTTTCAACAAAATCATAGAAGAAAATTTCCCTAACCTAAGCATACAGAACACCAAATAGATTGGACAGGAAAAAGAAAAAGTCCTTGGCACATAATAATCAAAATGTTAAGCATACAGAACAAATAAAGAATATTAAAAGCTGCAAAGGGGAAAAAAACCTACTAGAATAGCATCTGACTTCTTAATGGAGACTCTAAAAGTCAGACGGGCCTCGACAGATGTGCTAC